ACTCCCATGAAGAGTTAGTCTGGGAAACTCACAGAGGCAGTTCTACCCTGTCCTACATGGTTGCTAGGGGTCAGCATCAACTCAATAGCAGGAAGTTTTTTGTTGTTTTTTTTTTTGTTGATGGCCAAATAATTATTCTCCTAAAAATATGCTCAAGAGAAATAACACGGGTTCACCAAAAAACATGTTTAGAAAGCACTATTTTCACTGGTTTCATACTTTAAATTACCCAATTGCTTATCAAGAAATTCTAGAGACTCCAACCTAACAGCTCTCTAAGAGGCAAGAATCTTATGAGGAGTGTACATGTTCGTTACACAGTTGGCTTGGGTAAGAGATCCAGCTGTGAAGTGACCTTTCAGTCCGACTTCAGTCCCTACCATCCTCCCTCAGCTACACCAAAGCCTTTTCTGGTGGAATAACAGGCAAAGGGCTCAAGTGCAGATCTCTTCTGCAGTAACCTCTGGGAACCCCAGAAGTCACAACTTGCTTTATTTCCATTGAAAGGCATCCAGACAGCAGCACAACTACCCTCCTTTTTTGCCCTATATCTGTCCATTTCTTTTCTCTCTACTCAGTCAGGAGCAGGGAACAAATCCAATGCCTAAATAAGATTCAACTTTGCCCTCTTTCTTGGAACCACCCTGCTTAGCCTGAATGGAGGAAGCTAAATTCCATTCCACTCTTCTCCACTGAGAGCAGGGAAGGAATCACTTCAAATATTAATCTCCCTAGTCTTCTACTTAGAACAAAGGAGGGCTGAGATATTCATGGTAGCTCCCTGAATTCTTGGTAAATCCTCAAAGAATCATCTCACCAACACAGGTCACTTAACATTTCTTCATCTTCAACTTTGAGTTCTCGGAGCCAATTCAGAAGCAACAGGAAATATTTATTCAACACCCAGTTAACTTTGATACTCTTCTTCAAAGTCTTATTTCAAATGCCTTTGAATGGAGCAGCATATATTAGGAAATTAAGTAAATAATGATATCTTTCTCTCCTTTGATCAATGATGCTTTATAATACATCAAATTGAGTATGTACTTGTCACCACTCACTACAACCCATGTAATATTTTGTCATACTTAGAACACAGTCTTGCATAAGACTATTTACATTTGTTCAAGTATGACAAAAATTACTAGTACACAACTATTGCAAAGTACATATGTAACAAAAGTTAACTGTGCAATCTTAATTCTAATGAAAGATAACCAAATGTATAAAAATGAAGTTTTCCTTATGCCAGAGTCTAACAAGAAAATTAAATGAGACCTATGCAAACAGCAATATAAAACACGATGCTAGGATATAAATTCACAATTTTTTAAATACAAACTATCTTTGTTAATAAAAGAGCCAATGGGGAAACGTACAAAGAAAAATTTATAACTCCTTTCACTGTTTATTCTAGTCTTTTTCTATGCACATTAAGAGGGGGTACCTCCCCAAAGAACTGGAAAAAAGCCCTGCTGGGCAGAGCTGTTAGAGTACGCATTGAGCAACTCTGCTCTGTGTTAGTGGTGTCGCCTCAGAAGATTCTCTCTGGTCAATTTTTTCGTAAAAGCAGTTTAACTCGACCCTCATTTTTTTTGTGATTGCCAACTTAAGAGAACAGCATGCAGCTGTGAAATTTTGTTTCCTGCTTGGGAGAAGTGCTGCAGAAACTGCTGTGATGTTAAACACAACTTACAAGGATAGTGCTATAGGAAAAACTCAAGTGCACTTGTGGTTTTCTCATTTCAAAAAAGGTGAAATGTCAATTGATGACAAACCTTGTTCTGGACGTCCGTCAACTTCCTGCAGGAAGGAAAATGTCTACTAATAGTGCATTTGGAGTGAGAAGATTGTATACCAGACCTGATTTGTGGCAGACCAAAAAAAGGCCTGATTTGTGACAGGCGGGGGACTGGTTTTGCCACGACAATGCACCTGCTCATGCAGCCATCTCAGTGTGCCAATTTTTCGCAAAAAAAAAAACAACATGCCTCTCTTGCCCCATGCACCTTACTCGCCTGACCTCACACTCTGAAACCTTTTGTTTTCGCCAATGAAGAGGGAGGGGCACGAAAGGACAGCAATTTGAGACATAGAAGAGGTGAAGAAAAAAAAACGAGGAAGGTGCTCTCAGCCATCCAAACAGATGAGTTTAAAAATGTTTCCAAGAATGGAAGCACAGATTTGACGAATTATGTATTAAGTAAAATAGAGTACTTTGAAGGTGATAAGGTTGTTTTGGAAAAAAATATAAATACATAACTTTGAAAAAAAACTTGTTTTTAGGGAGGTACCCCCTAGTGTACATACTTACAAGTTACATTGTTTTGTACTATGTGTTGTACTTTTTTCACTCCATAGTGGTTATTTTCTTATACTATTAAATATTCTTCTAAACATTATATTTAATGCAGAATGCTCCATTGTATGACTGTGCTACAATTTATTTAGCCTGCTTTTGGCCAGATTATCCCTATTTATAGTGCTATAAGAAATTGTATTTTTATGTTTTTATAGTTCTAATTATTTTCTTAAGTTACACAATTATTTGTAATCAGAGGCTACAAATTATTTTCTAAGATTCTTCACTAAAAATATAAACCCAAGTTTCCTTCATCAACAGTCACAAGGTTGGTGTTCTGCTGGCATAGACTACCTGGAGTTCTTGCTGAAGAAATGTAGGAAAGATACTCTCTGCTGTAGGCCAGGGAGCCCCGCATCACCACTCAAAATCAAGGGTCCATAGCCCTGAGCTGACCTCTCTGGTGGAGGTGGGGGATCTTGACCACACAGTAGTGACTAGGTATGTATAAAGCATTCAGAACATCAGTTATCTTGGCAGGACCCTTATCTACAATCCATTAAGATCCTTTTCAACTGAAGTACAGCTTTCTCTGAGCCCCAGAATACTGTGAGGGACACTGGCCAGTCACCATTCTGTCCTATAGTTGGGAAACTGGCCTTTGCACCTAATTGCTCAAGATCCAGCTTAGAACATATTATCTCAAGGCATTCTTTCCACTGTACCTCTTAGAATATGTGCTCTGAGAAAGGTTTGAAGAGGCTGAGAAGCCTATACCGGTAGTTGACCAGTGAACAATGGTTAACACTATCACTAGGTGGCGTATTGTTTACCATTGAGGCTAATAGCTCCCTGGCTATTTGGGAATTTACATTCTTCAAAGTTCCTCTCTCATTAACAACCTAGCATTAATTGAAAAATGCTTCCAAATTAACTAGAAACGTTTCTAGTATATATGAAGCAACCCCAGTAAGGTTTAAGCATTGCTGACTGCCTTAAAAAGGATGATAATACAGGTTATTTTCTCAAAGGAGAAAATAGAACAGTTATGTCAAACCAAGCAGCTGCTGAATTTTTAACAGAGTAAATTACAAGAACAAAAGAGTTACCTCATGACTTTCTCCAAAAACCAAAATGGAACCCACTGCCATGAGTCAACAGGGACTCATAATGACCCTACAGGGTTTCTAAGGCTGAAACAGAAAATCTCTTCTTTCTCCTGCTGAGTGGCTGGTGGGTTTGAAATACTAACAGTCCATCATTTACCTAACAGTGGCGCCACTTAAAATATAATGTACAGACATGCTTTGGGTGAAGTTAGAAAAGCGCCCCCTTCCTCCTACATGCCTGCCCTTCTCTCAACCGCCCACCTGTACAATTTAAGAGAAATTCGACAGATGCCACAAGTCAGTTGCCTGCTTAATAAGTGTCTTCTTAAGTATTTAGACACTTAAGGTTCACATACTCCTCCATCTTTGTGGGGATTATTTTCAAGGCCCAATTACAAAATAAATCAAAGAATCTATAATTAAAACACAGCAATTACCAGTCCTTGTTCTAAAAAGTCCCACTGTTAAACCTATTTTTTTAAATTCCATTTAAAATATTAAGATTCACTTAAAATATTAAGATTAACTCAAGCAAAAACAGTATTCTTAAAACATGTTGTAACTCCTACCAAGGACTATGAAAAACTGTTACAACATCCAAGCCTCATTGGGAAAAGTCATCTTCAAGGGATGCTGCACTCTCACCCCACAATTCTGTGGAGTATGGTATACTCCATAAAAACAAAATGCTTACTGGCAGCAAATGCTTACTGACTTCTATTCATGCTTATAAGCAATTAAAATGTTGAAAAGCTACATCATCTTACAAACTAAAAATCAAACCAACTGCCATCAAGTCAATCCTGACTCATAGGACAGAGAGAGGTGCTCCCTAGGGTTTTTGAGGCTGTAAAACTCTAAGGCAGTGGTTCTCAACCTTCCTAATGCCACAACCCTTTAATACAGTTCCTCATGTTGTGGTGACCACCCCCATAAAATTTTCATTGCTACTTCTTAACTGTCATGTTGCTACTGTTGTGAATCGGGGTTGCGACCCACAGGTTGAGAACTGCTGCTATAAGGAGTAATAAGTCTGATCTTTCTTCTGAGGAGCTGCTGACAGGATTGAACTGCTGGCTTTACAGTTAGCAGCCCCATGAGACACCTTTATGCACCAGGGCTCCTGCACATGTAATTATTGATATTTAACACGACTACTTCAAATAGAAGTGTGCTGTAAAGTTGGACACACATAACTTTTCAGTCTCACTACTATTAACATTTTAAAAAATCTTTCTATTGATTATGTTAATATGGCAATTTTTTTGACTGTTAGATTAAATATTAATTTCGCCTGTTCATTTTTTTCATGAAGCTACCAGAAAATTTAAAATAATATGGCTCACATTTTATTTCTATATATAAAAATAGTCCTGCTACATTTCACTTAACCTTTTTTTATGCAGTTTATATTATAAAATCAACTTCTATATTCTAATCAAAAGCAATATTCTCCCCAAACAGGCCTAATCTACAAAGTAAAACCACAAAAAGGGCACACCTTGACTCAAGGTCATACATCACAGATTTCACAAAGCAGTAGCTCTGCCTACAAACCTCCTCCAATCATATGTTCAAATCTAAATCACCTGACAAATGGTCATGAATCCCTCGATTTATGGGTGTAGTGCAGACTCGGCTGAAATCCAGAGAATTATCCAACATGCCATTTATCCTTCGAAAGATATTGGCATTGCTACACGTGGAGAGTGCAGGTGCTTCCTGGTTGTCCCAGCAATCTTTGATCCTCCCCGTTTCTTCTTCCTAGACACAGAAAAAGACATTTAGGTTTCCTATAATTTATTATGGTAAATACAAAGCTTTCATTTCTCCTAACCTAACATCAAGAGTTAAACACTTGCAAGCACTTACAAATACATTAAAATATTTAACCAGTGTATTTTACTAGGTGCAAGGGGCCCTGAGAAAGATTTGAGGGAAAATACTAAAATAACACTCAGTAACCTAATAGGGCACATATCTGAAGACTTTTAAAAGTTCACAGAAAAATTCCAATATTGTTCACAATCTCATTTTTCCAAGATTGCTTTTAAATTTTAAGCCCCTTGAGGTCCAGTGATTTAGTTTGTCACTCCCACCAAACAACTGGGAGGGGCCAGGAAGACCGGATGTTTTTCCTCTGTTTCTGGTGGGCCTGGGTAAGAGAAGGTGGGGGAAGATGCTTACAAGATTCAGATCAGCCCCTTCCTGTCCTGTGTATGCCTATAGTACAGCCCCTTCCATTGCATATGTGGTTACCTATAATCAGGGGTGCTTGCACACCCCCTAAGTGTATATCTGCCTTGGTTAGAAATATGTTCTCAGTGGGGGTGGAGATGGAGGAGGGGGTAATGAGGAGCTGATACCAAGGGCTCAAGTTGATAGCAAATGTTTTGAAAATGATGATGGCAATAAATGTACACATGTGCTTGACACGATGGATGGATGGACGGGCGGATTGTGGTAAGAGTTGTACAAAGCCCCAATAAATTGATTTACAAAAATTTTTTTTAAAGATTATTTGATTCAACTGTGAGTGATTAACAGGGGTAATTGTGATTTTAAAAACTTAGAACTCTAATGTAGAGTTTGGTCAATTTTGCCATTCCTCTGGGTATAATAAAATGAGCCATCTCACAAGCAGGAAGGGGATCTCACTACCATGAAGAAAGATGAGCCAGGAGTGGAGCACATCCTATGGATCCCAAGCAATGACATTACAAGCAGCAGTAGAGTAATAGGGCTGCAGCAACAGACCCAAGAGCCAGAACCTGAGACAAGAGTAATGAACTTTCTGGTTTACAGAGCAAGTGAAGCCGAGTGCATGCAGGCAGGAAGTTCACTTGCAGAGTGGGTGCCTCCACACACAAATGGAGGAGCTAGCTTTGCTAACCTATGGGGCTAGAACTGTGTACCTTCAAGTTGAAGTTTAGGGCTGAGTGGTGTCCCCTTGGGGCATTAATCAAGATGTGTAAAATGTCCAAGCAGAGCAGAGGTCAAGGGCACATGTGGCTGAGAGACCAAAATACAGAGCCTTTCCTTTGAGCATGACTGGGAAGAAGCTGCCCTGGAGGAAGAATTCTGTGTTGAGCATTTCTGATTCTGAATTGAAATCTGCTAACTTCCCAAATAAGCCCTTAATCATGTGGATGGTCTGTGTGGTTACTGCCATGAATTATCAAACCCAGGTGAGAAGTTGAGAGTGGTATAAGAGGAATAATTATTGTCAGAAGTAAAGGAGGTGAATAGAGGTATATCTGACTAGCGCCTCGTAACAATCAGCTTATTGATGATTTTTAGTTTGCTTCTCCATCCCCCTTATGAAGTCAGAGGTGGTCAGATGCCACTTTCAAGCCTCCTTTTTGGCACCCCTTGTATGTGTGTAGCATGGTAGGTAGAAGCAACATAAACTTCAGAAACAGAAAGACCTGAGTTCAAATCTTGTTTTTCATGGTATATCAATTCACACAATGGAAAATTACTTGGCAATAAAAATGAATGCTACAACATAAATTATGCCATGTGAAATAAAGGCAGTTACTACATTGTTATGAACTCATTAAATAAAATTTCCAAAATAATAGGTTAATCTAAAGTAGATTAAAGGTAGGAAAAATGTGTAGGGTAAGGGACTGTGAGATGGTGGATAATGGGTAACAAGGTTTATTTGGGGGATGAAGATATTCTGAAATTCAATTACAATCATAGTACAACCCTGTACATATAATAAAAAAGAATTATATAGAGAGCTGTTAAAAAATCTTGAATCTGAATTTATTGACTGTATTGTTAGACAAGTACTTAACATCTTGGTGCCTCAGCATACCCAATAATTTTTTTTTTAAGACACATGTAAAAGCACTTAACACAGCGCCTCTCATGGTGTTCTAGTTTTATATCTCAAAGTATAAATACGTAGAGGATGTGATAAGCATCAAGAACAGTACAAACATCACCCAATGTCATTGGCTAGGTGTGTTTATGCAATTCTATGTGATGACTGAAGTACATACAATTCTATTTGCTGGTGTGAGATGATGTGTAAGATATACTGCTAAATACAAAAGTACTCCAAGATATATAACAGGAAACGAAGAAGAGCTTGGCTCCCCACTTTAAAGGAAAAGAGTCGCTGAAAATCTTATGCATAGCTTTAAAACACTGTCAGATACTGATGGCCTGAAGGCCACAAGAATGGAAGAAGAACATTATCAGAGATGGTGCCAGAGAATAGGCCCTTCAAGTCCCAGGGCACTCGAATTGGGCCTTCAATGAGAATGATTGACACACCATGGCTGCAACAATGAGCTCAGGCATAGCTAGAATTTTAAGGATGGTGCAGGACCTGTTAGGTTTCTGGAGTGGGTAAATACCTGTTCTTTGCCTCACACGCTGAAAGAATTCATGCCAAAGCACGTTGTGTGATCCAAGTAGGTTTTTATGAAGGACAAGTTTCAGGTCTGACAGTTTCAAAAGACTTATGTTATCTCTGGGACGCGTCCCCAGCCGCATGGAAGCCGCACTGGGGTTCACACCTGGGCCCGAATGACCACGTGGAAAAGAGTACCCACGCGTGCGGAACTTGGGAGGGATCCCAGAAGGCCAGAAGCCCAAGAACCCTAGAGGTTAAGAGCATGTGGACCCAGAGGCTGTGGGTCCCAAATAGGCCAGGAGTGGGCACATGTGCGCCTGCACAGGGGAAGGAGACCCTCACCCTCTACCTGCCTATGACCAAGAGCAGGGTAAGAGAGCGAGGTTGTTCCACAGCCAGGATATTTCAAACCTCTGTCTGGGGAGGCATGGTTGATGGTACTGGTTGACCCCATTGGCTGAGTTAAGGCCACCTGTGTGATATACTTAACGTGCTTGTGTCCAAGATATTGGTTTTACCTGGGCCTAGGGTGCTTGTGTCTGTACATGCTCAGTTTGGGGTCTTCATAGGTGTTCATTGGTTGCCTGATTTTTTTTCCAACCTCCTGTATGGGGGGGGCGGGGTCTTTGCAGGCAGGGAAGGGACAACCCCCTTGTCCCTAATCTAGTTACCTAACAGACCCCTAACAAATTATTATTTTCATATCTTACACAGGGGGGAGTGTTATAGATCATTGTAGTTGGTTCCCATTTATCACTACTCCCATGAGTTTATTACTGTTCCTGGGGAGTTTATCTGTTCTGGATTCCATGTGTCCTGTGTCAAGAGCTCTTATCTGTCTCAGTGTTCATGCTGCAGTCTATCCGGATTTGTAAGGTAGAGAGTGGGTGGGGAGGAAGCACTAAAGAACTAGACAATGTGTTTTTCATCAGTGCTATGCTACACCCTGGCTGACTCTTTCCTTCCTTTTGACCCTTCTGTGAGGGAATTGTCTTAATTGTCTACAGTTGTGTCTATTGTCTACAGATGGGCTTTGGGTTTCCACTCCAACTCCCATCATTTGCAACGATATGATTGTTTTGGGTCTTCTGATGCCTAATACCTGATCCCATCGCCTCGTGATCACATAGGCTGCTGTGCTTCTTCCATGTGGGCTTTGTTGCTTCCCTGCTATATGGCCACTTGTTTAACTTCAAGCCTTTAAGACCCCAGACTATATCTTTTAATAACTGGGCACCATCAGCTTTCTTCACATTTGCTTATGCACCCATTTTTACTTCAGCGATCCTGTAGGGAAGGTGAGCATCACAGAATGCCAGGTTATTAGAACAAAGTGTTCTTGCGTTGGACAGAGGACTTGAATAGAGAGAGACCCAATCTGCTACCTTAATACTTAACATTTAAATATATGTACATAGACCTATATCCCTATAATTATTTATCAGTGGTTCTCAACCTTCCTAATGCCACGACCCTTTCATACAGTTCCTCAAGTTGTGGTGACCCCCCCAACCATAAAATTATTTTCGTTGCTACTTCATAACTGTAATTTTGCTACTGTTATGAATTGGGAGACCCGTGAAAGGGTTGTTCAACCCCCAAAGGGGTCGCAACCCACAGCTTGAGAACAGCTGTTATATATTAATATACTTACATATGTGCATGCCTACATTTACACCTCTATAAATGTCTTTTGTCTCCAAGTTCTTTATTTTCACTTTCTTCCTGTCCCCACTATCATGTTCAACCTTCATGCGACTCTCAGTACTTTTTCTCAGCTACATTACACTTGATCAAAGCCCACCAGGCATTCTCTGCCCTCTTAGCCATCGACTTTAGATCTCTTATTGTTCCCTTGTCCCTGGGTTTGTTGGCTACCCCACCTCCCTTTCTCCCATCTCCTCCTTTCCCATCTGCCCTGAAGCCGTCGGCCCCATTATTTTCTCCTCAGAATTGGTTATTCTATCTCATAAAGTCATGGTATTTTTAATTGCCTCATATACATAGGAAAGTTGGACAATGAAATAGAAAGATGGAAGAATTGGTGCATTCGAATTATGGTACTAACAAAGATTACTGAAAGTATCATGGACTGCTAGCAAAACAAACATATCTTTCTTGGAAGAAGTGCAGTCAGAATGTTATTTAGAAGCAAGGATGGTGAGATGACATGTTAGCAGAGCGCAATCCCTGGATAAAGACATCATGCTTGGTAAAGTAGTAGGTCATCTAAAAACAGGAAGAGCCTCAATAAGATGGGCTGACTAGATGACTGCAACAATGGGCTCTAACTAACAATTGTGAGGATGATACAGGATTGGGCAGTGCTTCATTTGCTTTACATCTAGTCACTATGAGTTGGAACCAACTCAATGACACCGAACAATTTTGT